CAAACACTAACAGGAATAATCGGTTCTGGGGCGGCGCTCGTTGCACAGTTTGTTGCAAACGTAGAGGATGCTATTGCTTCACCAGTTGACATACCATTTCTATAAAACGTTATCAAGATGTAATACAGTACGCTCAATCCAAAGTTGACTACATTTATGGGGCATGACTATACATGTCTCCGAGTAATATGGAACTTAAGATCGGTCAAGTGATAGGTTATAATAATAAAATTTTGGTTGCTACCGATAAACAAAAACCAGGTATAAATTCAGATATTAACACCAAATTGATAATGCAAACAAACACAGGCAAAACAGGAAAAGTCAAGCCACAGTCATCTACTGTAACAGAAGTGCAACAGCCACAAGTTGTAAAACTGCATATTACAGCCAAAAATCAACACATCGATGAAAAAACAGCGCTTATAGTAGGTGGAGTCGCAACTGGTTTACTCATGATTTGGATAAATAGTCTTTAGCGGATACATACAACAGCACAGTAATTGCTACGATCACTGCCCACAAGTTTTGGCTAAGCCAAGTGGCAGTCTTGACTGATAAATTCAAGAGCCAGGATACAATACTCCCTATTATACCGGGAAGTGCAGGCGCGGCTTTCCAAGCGAGTTTTCCTCGTGTAGTATAGGTAATGGGGGTTCTGCCGCAACTCCACTGGAGCCAGATTTATATACCTATACCACCACTACAGAGGGAATTTTTTATGCAAAAATGACTATGCGATTCAACGAGTCTTTAGCGGATACATACAACAGCACAGTAATTGCTACGATCACTGCCCACAAGTTTTGGCTAAGCCAAGTGGCAGTCTTGACTGATAAATTCAAGAGCCAGGATACAATACTCCCTATTATACCGGGAAGTGCAGGCGCGGCTTTCCAAGCGAGTTTTCCTCGTGTAGTATAGGTAATGGGGGTTCTGCCGCAACTCCACTAGAGCCAGATTTATATACCTATACCACCACTACAGGTGTCATTTTTTATGCAAAAATGACTATGCGATTCAACGATAGTCATATTAAAAGAAACATCAATATTAATTAATAATGAATAAAATTTACTATAGCCCACGAGGATATTGGAAAGGTGTAGGAGCAATAAAAAAATTAGCCACAGCGGCTAAGGTATCTAAAGATGTGGCCAAGGATTGGTTAAAGAAACAAGCGATGTGGCAAATATATTTACCGGCACCGCGTTATATACAGAGGAAAAAGTTTGATATTTTTACAACGAATGAAGTTCATCAGGCTGACCTCTTGTTTCTTCCCCATGATAAGGTAAGATGCAAAACGTATAAATATGCTTTAACAGAAGTGGATGTGGCTAGTTGATACAAAGAGGCTGAGCCATTAACCTCGAAAGATTCAACAGAAGTAGCTAATGCACTAAGTTTTATATATAAACGCGGACCACTAAAATGGCCTAAGCTATTTCAAGTAGATCCTGGTCGCGAGTTTATGGGATCGATAACTAAACTGTTAACAAAGCACGATGTCGAAATCAGGCGTGGTGAAAGAGAGGCCCACTGCAGTCAAGCTATCATCGAAAGATTTAACAGGACATTAGCGGAACGTTTGTTTGGCTATCAGTATGGGATCGAAATGAAATCCGAGCGATTGAGATCAACCGAATGGGTGACACGATTATCAGCCGTTGTATCAGCGCTGAATAATGAAGTAACGAGATTAATAGGGAAGAAACCATCCGATGCGATTAAAATGAAATCTGTGACTTCCGAATCTTCAGCACCGAGGAGAGGCAAAGAACGAAAACTTCCGGATAGAGTAAGGGTAAGATATTTATACCAGGCCGGTGAACTCGAAGGAGGCCTACGTCGCACAACCGATCCCATATGGTCCCTTAAGACATATAACATTAGTCGATTGGTTATGAAAGAAGGAGAGCCTATTCTTTATTATCTTCAAGATGGACCGGGCAGGGCATTTGTACAAGAAGAGTTGTTCATAGTTCCCGACGGTACGGTATTACCACCATAACCATAAGCATAGGTAGTTACACCATCATTATCAATCCATCTTTTGGGTAATCGCTCGTGTCGTACATATCTATTTTTTCTGCCATATCTTTATACACATCCTCGGTTTGTATTTCCATCAACAAAGAATCTGTGTCGGTATATAACACCTCGCATCTATCGCCGTATTGCTTCTTAAGTTCGTTGTAATAAAAGTCATACATTAAGTGTTTTGACAAGTCGAGAATACTCATACCGACGTACACCGGTCTGTTGAATTTTATATTACTCTTCTGCATATGTAACGCGGCTGAGTTGTTATCGAATATCTTGCTTCTGTTAAAAGCCAGACTGGCTATAAGTTTCCTGAGTCTTTCTTCCTCATTAGATCTGACTAATTTAACATCAACACGCTTCCTTAGATTCTCCATAGTTTTACCAAATACTGAGTTATTCAAGAGCTTATATAGATTCTTTTCAAAATCGCTAGTGGCCATCTTTCTTAAATCTGTGGTCAGCCTTATATAGGGCTCCATCCAAGGGCTTTGATCAAACTTTAGAACTCTGTGTATTTTCTTAAGTTTCATACCTAACGATAGATACAACTGGAGATTTCTGTAGTGAACAATATATTTTGTCTTATCCATCAAATTTGGTACGAGTTTTTCTACGTTAGCTAACCTTGTATTACCCATCAAGGAGTGTTGATATTCCGACATCCAATCTTTATTCACCATTAATCTTTCGGGAGCTAGCGGATAACTGTTATGATCTTTATGTAACGAATTTGGATATGCAAAGTCAACTTCTAGTATGTACCCTTTATTCACATTGATATTATGGATATCATTCACTTCAATATCATCGACCCACTCAAAACCATCCGTGGGTAAAGGTTGACTCATAGCCCATCCGTACAAATTGTTGGCGTCAAGATATAATATGTGCGTGTCGGGTTTACTCGGATCATATCCTTCCACTAATTTATTATTAGCCTTAGAATACCTTTTCGCTACCATCGATATACCGGCTCTTAATCCTTTCTCAATAAACAAGTGCATATCGTAATCAGTGAGTAGTTTTAGTTCTACACCGGTCTTCTTCAACAATGCATCCCAACAATATTATATACACTTGTAGTCCCCTCTATGTCCACTTGTTTTCAACCCTGAATACATTTGTAGTCCCCTCTATGTACACTTGTTTTCACCCCTATATACACTTGTAGTCCCCTCTATGTACACTTGTTTTCACCCCTATATACACTTGTAGTCCCTTCTATGTACACTTGTTTTCACCCCTATATAAACATTTGCAGTGCCCTTTATGTACACTTGTTTTCACCCCTATATACACTTGTTGTCCCTTCTATGCACACTTGTTTTCACCCCTATATACACTTGTTGTCCCTTCTATGTACACTTGTTTTCACCCCTATATACACTTGTAGTCCCCTTTATGTACACTTGTTTTCACCCCTATATACACTTGTAGTCCCCTCTATGTACACTTGTTTTCAACCCTTAATACATTTGTAGTCCCCTCTATGTACACTTGTTTTCACCCCTATATACACTTGTAGTCCCCTCTATGTACACTTGTTTTCACCCCTATATACACTTGTAGTCCCCTCTATGTACACTTGTTTTCACCCCTATATAAACATTTGCAGTGCCCTTTATGTACACTTGTTTTCACCCCTATATATACTTGTAGTCCCCTCTATGTACACTTGTTTTCACCCCTATATAAACATTTGCAGTGCCCTTTATGTACACTTGTTTTCACCCCTATATACACTTGTAGTCCCTTCTATGTACACTTGTTTTCACCCCTATATACACTTGTAGTCCCTTCTATGTACACTTGTTTTCACCCCTATATAAACATTTGTAGTCCTGTCTATGTACACTTGTTGTCCCTTCTATGCACACTTGTTTTCACCCCTATATACACTTGTTGTCCCTTCTATGTACACTTGTTTTCACCCCTATATACACTTGTAGTCCCCTTTATGTACACTTGTTTTCACCCCTATATACACTTGTAGTCCCCTCTATGTACACTTGTTTTCAACCCTTAATACATTTGTAGTCCCCTCTATGTACACTTGTTTTAACCCCTATATACATTTGTAGTCCCCTCTATGTACACTTGTTTTAACCCCTATATACACTTGTAGTCCCCTCTATGTACACTTGTTTTCACCCCTATATACACTTGTAGTCCCCTCTATGTACACTTGTTTTCAACCCTTAATACATTTGTAGTCCCCTCTATACACTTGTAGTCCCCTCTATGTACACTTGTTTTCGACCCTTAATACACTTGTAGTCCCCTCTATGTACACTTGTTTTCACCCCTATATACACTTGTAGCCCCCTCTATGTCCACTTGTTTTCAACCCTTAATACATTTGTAGTCCCCTCTATGTAAACTTGTTTTAACCCCTATATACACTTGTAGTCCCCTCTATGTCCACTTGTTTTCAACCCTTAATACATTTGTAGTCCCCTCTATGTACACTTGTTTTCACCCCTATATACACTTGTAGTCCCCTCTATGTACACTTGTTTTCACCCCTGTATACATTTGTAGTCCCCTCTATGTACACTTGTTTTCACCCCTATATACACTTGTAGTCCCCTCTATGTACACTTGTTTTCACCCCTATATACACTTGTAGTCCCCTCTATGTATACTTGTTTTCACCCCTATATACACTTGTAGTCCCCTCTATGTACACTTGTTTTCACCCCTATATACACTTGTAGTCCCCTCTATGTACACTTGTTTTCACCCCTATATACACTTGTAGTCCCCTCTATGTACACTTGTTTTCACCCCTATATACATTTGTAGTCCCCTCTATGTACACTTGTTTTCACCCCTGTATACATTTGTAGTCCCCTCTATGTACACTTGTTTTCACCCCTATGTACACATGAAGTTACTGGGGTTTAATCAGTTTGTCAGTGTGTTACTTTTCTTGATAATGAGGTCAGTACCTTCTACTCTCTGCAATTGCACGGTTATAGAAGTCGTCAATCCTCTTTTCATTGAGTTTATCTGAGGCAATCAGCCTTCCAGCATTCTGAAACACACAGTATATAGAGGTTATCACGCAAGCCTTGGCGAGCTAAATACATAGTGTTTATTCCTAACACAGGATATTTACCATCCCCAAACACACAAGCCTGATAACTTCTTTATCATATAATGTCATTCTTTAATTCTGTGCTTGAAAATTGCTTTCCATCTCTCACAAACATTACGGAAACAAAATATAGGTAAGTGGGTTTGGGAATTCCAGGATTAGATCTTATCATTCATGCCCTGCGGATGGGTGGTTTTCAGATCAAATATCCATTTTAGTTGAATGGACCGGCGTCTGGCCGTGCTCTGAGCTGACTCAGGGTCTGTTTTGAGCTGTTGTATGATTTGAGAGTATTGGTCTCTGGTTGAGTGTCCTACGGAATTGAAGTGTTTAGTGACAGGTTTGTCCCTTTGGTGGTTTATATCTGCAAAGTGTTCTTTGAGTCTGGTGCAGATGTGTCGTTCGGTCTCACCTACGTATTGTTTGCCACATTTAATGCAACTGAGCAAGTAGATTATGTTTCTGCTTTTGCAAGTGAAATGCGGATGGCATTTATATTTTTTGCCTGTTGTGTGGCTATTGAAGGTGTTGACCCATTTCATATTTATGCAGATTTTGCATGCTTGTTTGTGACAGCTGTCATCTAAGTTGGGCACAGTTCGGCCACTGATTTGTGCTTTGGGTGGCGGATAGGTGATTGCCGCTCTCATGAGGATGTCTCTGAGAGTGCGGTTCTTCCTGTATGCCGTGATGTGTGGGACTCGGAAGGTGTCTTTGCAGGTATCTGATCCTAGAAGTAGGTGCCAGGATTTTTTAATCATGGAGCTAACCTTGAGTGCAGTGGGGTTGTAATCTGTGATAAAGATCACTGGTTAAGTGTCTTTAGAGGGTGTCTGTTTTTGTGTTAAGAGGGATGTTCTCTCTTTAGCGTTAGCTTTTATTTCATTGTCCAAGAGAATTTTCTTGGGGTAACCTCTCTTGAGGTAATACTTTACTAGATTGTTACTGTGGAACTCATATTGTGATTGCGAGCTGCAGATCTTTTTGAGTCGGAGGAATATGTGGTCCTTTGACTTTGATGTGTCGTGGGTGGCAGGAGGTATATAGCAGATAAGAATGTGTATCTGTGGGTTTGCAATATAGGTCAGTTTGTTGGTTTCTTGGTTAAATATGACCCATGTGTCTAGGAAAGCCACTTTTTCTCTAGAAAATTCAGCCGTGAATTTGATTGTGGGATGTGATTGGTTCATTTCTTTGATGAAAGATTCTAACCTAGTGTAGCCCAAAGTCCAAATGAGGAAGATGTCGTCTATAAATCTGACATATAGGCTTGGGCTATCAGTGGTTTTTTTTAGAAGTCTTTCTTCTAATTCTCCCATGAAAATATTTGCGTATGTTTGGGCTAGTTTGGTACCCATGGCTGTTCCTCCGGTTTGTACGAAGTGTACATTGTTGAAAACAAAATTGTTTTTGTATAGAACAAGTCTAAGTAAAGAGAGTAAGCTGGTGGGGCTGATGGACCAGTCAGGTTTAAAGCGTCTAATGGCCTGAGCTACTGAACGGAAGGCCTTCCGTGTTGGGTATGATGGTGTAAAGGGATGTGACATCCACAGTGACAAGAATGATGTCACTATTGGGTGGTAGGTGTATCATGGAACTGTTCTGGGTGAACAATACCTTCCAAATGGCGTGCTGGTTTTCTTGGGGAATAAGTCAGCAAAGTGCCGGAGTCACAGGAGACTAATCACAATTTTATTTACAAGAACAATTAACAATTTACAATATACTTAGATAATAACTGAGGGTGCCACAGAGAGTCGGTACAACACTCTGGGCTGTAGGAGAGAGGTCTGCTTGGTAAGAGAGTCCAACCCCTTCTCTTCTCTATCATGTTGCTACAGTATGTATTTAACAAAAATTTGAACAATAAAAAGGAATATGATTGGTTGATACACGATTGGTTGTGCCCTATGCTAAATAAATGGCTAGACAGAGGGGAATACTTAATCCTGTTAATCCTGTTGGACTGGCACTAATCTTGTTGACATATTTACTGGATGCTTTGAAAGAGATTATGGTGTCACTATAAACGAGCTTGTGTTGGGGCTAATCCTTAATGCACTATAGATGAGCTTGTATGGGGGCTAATCCTTAATGCCCTATAGACGAGCCTGTATGGGGGATAATCCTTAATGAGTCTTAATTGAAGTAATTGCCAATGTTATTCTAATATACCCCGGTAGGTGATGACAGATATACTTAAATAAAATAGTTCAAGGTAATCTATAAGACTATGTAGACATATCCTTTGTCTGGGAGATGGGATCTTGATACCTTAGGCTAGCATTTATCTAAAAGCTTCAAATCAATTAAACTATGTATACGTAACTCTTGTTTTATTGAATAGTATGTCTAGGAGATGCGCTCCCATTACCTTAGGCTAGCATCTGTCTAAAAAGCTATAGACTGAAACTACTGATATTTTATACAGTGATCGCTCGCTATTGCGCTCTTCGATAAAGCGCTACCTCGGTTACTACGCGCGGTAACGCATGGCTCCCAAAATTTATGTACACTTTTATTACTGAGAGTTTTACACAGACATAATTGTATTGTTGTTCGTTGTTCATTTGCACATAACGCTTCTCATTGCATAATCAACCGTTTATCGCTGAATGGAGTTCTAATTATCTGTTTGAAAACATCCGCGGCAAGTACCGGAAATACGATTGTTCAACTAGTTAACTTTTCACCCTATACATCCTTTGATCTTAGAAGCGCATGCATGCAATAAAAGAGAACCACAAGCGAAGTTTATATTCTTAATGAGGGGGCAATCCAATTTAAGGCTAAACTGTCACACACATGTAGTTGCTGTCACAACACGGCGGTCATTCATTTCGTAATCGCGCTTTCGTAACATCGCCTGTTTTTTTTCCATAATTATAACAAGCGATTTCATTGGATTAAAATTTGTTTCTAATGACGCTTTCTTGCTGAAATCTGCTGCAAGTTTCGTGATTGGTCAATTTTGAGCACGTGACCTCAGGCAGCCAATCAAATTATAGCTGTGATACCAAGCTCGTGTTTGATAAATTTCAGAAGTTAGCGAAAGATTTTTTGTTAAATCGTGTTATTCTGAACGTTTTAAGCAGGAAATCACGATATATATTAAAAATATGGAACTTCGCGAATGTATCGTGCTAGGTTACGAGCTGTGACAAAGATTTTTCATGCATATATTTTTGCATTAAACGTTGTGTCCGAGCCGAGAATTCAAGGCGACGAAAGCCGAGATGTCATTTGACTTACATTACACGTGATCACACGAAACGATGGAAATAATAACTTAGATGTAAGTTTGATTACTTTTAGATATATTTTTGTTGATTTTATTTATCACTTTGTATAATATATTTAAAGATTTGCTTAAAATAGTCTTTATTTTGCTCTTTGACATGTTCGATGCGGACCCGTTGTCGAAATGTGTGTCCGAGAATTTTATTTTCAATAACATCGCGGGAAATAGTGAATAATTTTTTAATTTATTGATAAAAAATGATAAATTAGAATGGAATACGTATTTCAGACATTGTGAAATGTGACAGATTTAATAAATGAATTATATTACAGGTAGATCTAGGTCCATATAAATATATACTATTTTGACGTGACGTGAGATAAACACATATTGATGATTTGAGATTTGCCGAGCGCGCTCCCCCGCCTCGGCCTCGGTTAAACGGCTCATCGTCTATAACGCCCACCAATTATTTGGACCCCATTGGTAGCGAGGGACCACTGTATATGCATTTTACCTGATGATAAGTATTACTTGCTAAACTATTATATGAAATGATGTATAAATATTACACAATGGTAACTCATAAAAGCACTTGATGTGGATCTAATTATTATAGGATAACTGAGTATAAATGTTAACCATGATAAATTCCCCTCCGTCTGAAAAAGTTTGGACCCCAAATGTGTAAAATAAAATAATTAAGGCTTAGATGGACAATGTATAAAGTTAAACTGGTAGTATAGTAAATAACAATTATTATAGAGTCTCTTTGGCATTAGGAAACATAATGAAAAAGTTCTTTCTGCTGTCATCAGGGAGTCTGGATGTGGAGCTTGCTTGTCTTGGCACTCTGTACTGGTGGTTTATGGGTGATGTAGGAGGCCTTGAGTTCCACATCCTGGTTTGAGGTTTAGGATAGTTGGCTGTGTCCATGGAGGTTTTACATGGAAACAAAGAAAAGAGAGTTAGCATGTTCAAATAATATGTCATATATAAATACTTCCTCAGTTTGTCTGTAATAACTAGAAAATAAAACAAATATGATAATTATGATGTAAAAAAAAAATCAGTACATTATTAGGTACACATGCATTACTAAATGGTGTCATGACCAGGAAGAATGTATTGGCAGCAAATTACACAAAGTATATAATGGATTAAAAATATCCTTCTATTTTTGGATACAATCATTAGAGTGAGTGAGTTTGGTTTTACGCCGCTTTTAGCAATTTTTCCAGCAATATCACGGCGGGGGACACTAGAAATTGGCTTCATACATTGTCGGGACAAACACTTGAACCACTAGGCTATCCGACCGCCCCATAATCATTAGAGACATTATATATACATGTGTGTATGTGCATATAACAAGTGCATTGATTCGTTTCGCTTTGATTTTCTTTTGGTTCACTGCGATAGGGTTCAGTTGGGTTTATTTTGCTTCGGTACGGTTTGCTTTGCTTCGGTGCGGTTTCGGTTTGATTCGCAGTATGGTTTGCTTCGTTTCGGTGTGGTTTGGGTTTGATTCGCAGTATGGTTTGCTTCGCTTCGGTGCGGTTTCGGTTTGATTCGCAGTACGGTTTGATTCGTTTTGGTACGGTTTCGGTTCGATTCGCAGTATGGTTTGCTTCGCTTTGGTGCGGTTTCGGTTTGATTCGCAGTACGGTTTCCTTCATTTTGGTACGGTTTCGGT